TTTAGAAATGTTTTCCCGCCAAATACATTAAATGTATCCTATATATAGTAATTGTTGGACAATATTGATAAGGCAACAAAATCTGCAGATTAATTGTGTTAGAATCGGTTTTCCTTTTTCTTGTTTTTTTGGTATTGAAAATGGCCTTATAAAATCTCATATCATAAATCTAGAGTTTATCTCTTATATGTTACAAAATCCCATTGCATACGTATTTAAAAAATCTCATCTCTTATCTATAAAGATTTAAAAAAATAAAATAAAATAAAAATCAATTTACAAATATTATAAGCTAACAATACATCCTCGATAACAACGTAAAAAGTATAATAATAATGGTGTGTAATCAATTTTTTTAGATGGAAGTAACACCATAAATTCGGTATCATCTGACATAATATCTTTTTTAAATTATGCTTATAATATTTTATATATTTTAAACAAATTGTCTAGACATTTTTTTTACATATTCGTCTATATATATTTATACATATACACATATACATAATTGATGTTAAATTTAAATATTTGTAGGGCAAAATTGCAATTTAATACACCACCTTTCACAGTTTTGCATTTTAATCACCACCTTTGGGAATTGGCAATTTAATCACGAGCCTTTTCTTTTTTTTGCAAAACGAACCACAATTCACGGTGCCGTTTACAGAGTGCTGACTTGGAAGTGACGGAAATTTTGAGGGGTTGATGTGGCCATGCTGTGGCATTGACGTGGCTTAGCTAAAAGGTGAATCAAGTTAAAAACCCTAATTCCCTTCTAAACTCCAAAATCCCTAATTTCAAATGTTCGAAAATCCTAAAATTGCAGACGCGAGGAATTGGCGAAGCCCCATCTGAGAAGAAATTTCGTGTGTAATGGGGGACAGGTACAGCTCATCCCCTTGTATTATTCCATGAGATGAAATTGTGGTGTTGTAGGCTATATTTTGGAAACGGAATATGAGAATGCAAATGGCCATTCTTCGAGCCTGTATTTTTTTGTTTTTTTTTGTTTCTTGTGTTGCGGATTTAGTAATTGGCATGTGCAACAGATTTGTTGAACCATGATTATTACTTCGAGTTAAATCATGAATTTAATTTAATTTTGATGTTCTGTGACATGTGTTCTCTTTCTTTATAATGTTGCAGTAATTCTTTCGCAATCTATTTCAACTACGGAGGGTACATGGTTAATATTGATGGTTTCTTGGATTTCTTTGGTGATAATATTCACTTAGTTACTGGACCAGACTTGGATAGATTTGGTTTCTTTGATCTGGTAGAAGAGATTGATAAGTTGGGTTGTAAAGAGTGGTATAAAATATTGTACAAGGTTCCAAATTCAGAGGAATACAAAGAAATACATGATGACACTGGAGTCATGGAGATGTTGAACCTGTTACCTCCTTCTAAAAAACTTGTTTATATGTATGTATGCTCAGATAGTGAAAAGAAAATTGGATGTGCACAGAATGGACAATCATCTAAATGTGCAACAGAAGATGCAGTACAAAGTGCTGCAATCCCTCCAGAGGATGGAAATTTTAATGATGTTGAAGAAAGCTCAAATGATGATGAGTATGTTCCATCTAATGATGAGTCTGATGACTATTCTAGTGAGGATGGACTCTCTGATGATAATTTGGGAACAGATGATGAGGAATACCTTGCTGCAAGGAGGGATAGGGTAATGTATAAGAAATCCAAAAAGGCTGAAGAAATTGAGGAAAGTTCAATTGTTAGAGACTTAGAGTTTGATTATGAGGATTCTGATGGGTCAGTGAACACTGATTCACCTATTTCTGACCATGGACAGGTTGACGATGATTCTACTGGGGTGTCTAATTCTAAGAAGAAGTTAGTAGTTTATGACCCTAAGTGTGATCACAGTACTCTGAAGTTTGTGTTGGGTATGAGATTTGACAGTGTAATGCAGTTGAAAAATGCAATCAGAAAAAATGCAATACACAATGGGTGTAACATTCAATTCATGAGAACTAGTCAAAAGCAAGTTCAAGCAAGGTGTACTGACCCTTGTCCATGGAGATTGTATGGCAGTTTGGTACAATCTGAGGGTAGAGTTGCCATCAAAAGATTGGTGTCAGAGCATAATTGTTTTAGGGACATTAGGACCAGATAAGCAACTTCTGAGTGGGTAGCAACTGAGTATTGGAAAAAGTTCAAGAAACAACCTAGTATAAAGGTCTCAGATATGCAGGAGCTCATTATGGACAAGTTTGGAGTACAACCATCCAAATGGAAGTTGTACAGAGGGAAATACAAAGCTCTTGAGATGCTTAGAGGCTCTGAATCAGAACATTATGGGTGCCTCAGAAATTATATTGCTGAGCTGCAGAGGGTGGATAGAAATGGGAGATTTGAACTGCTATTAGAAGAAGGACATGTTTTCAAGGCTTTCTTTATTGGCTTCAGTGCTTTAAGGGAAGGGTTTCTGCAAGGATGTAGGCCAATAATTGGATTTGATGGTTGCTTTCTAAAGACATTTCTGGGAGGTGTGTTGTTGTGTGCAGTTGGAAAAGATGGGAACAACCAAATATATCCTTTGGCTTGGGCTGTTGTTGACTCAGAGAATGAAGACAACTGGAGGTGGTTCTTGACTATACTGTTTCAAGAGCTTAGAATAGAGGATGGTTTGGGTTAGACATTCATTAGTGACCAACAGAAGGTTAGTACACTTCATGTTTGTTCAGTGTGCATTTATATTATATTTTTTCTAATTTATGTTCCATTTTCTACTTGTAGGGACTGATTGCAGCTATCAAAGAACTCACACCACATGCTGAGCACAGAAACTGTGCTAGACATGTGTATATGAATTGGAAAAAAAAGTACCCAGGGAAAACATTGAAGGACCTATATTGGAGAATAGTGCACAGCACATACCGGGTAGCCTACAAGGAAGCTGTTGATGAGTTGAATGTGGCTGATCCAGATGCATGTAAGGATTTACTTGACAAAGAAACCTTTAGATTTTGTAAGACTTTTATTGCAGAGTTACCCAAGTGTGATATGATATTGAACAATGTGTGTGAGACATTTAATAGTACCATTGTAGCTGCTAGAAAAAAACCAATTGTGGAGATGCTAGAGGTCATTAGAACCTATGTTATGGAAAGACACCATGAGAAACTTATGTTGGGTAGTGCTGTGAGTGATGTGCTTTGTCCTAGAATTAGGAAAAAGGTTGAAGAGGCTAAGTACAAAAGTAGATTGTGCCATACTAAGCCTGCTGTGGGTGACAAGTTTCAAGTGGCAATTTCAGAAGATCAGTTTGTTGTTGACTTGAGGGAGATGAGTTGCACCTGTAGAGAGTGGGATATCTCTGGGATTCCTTGTGCCCATGCCTGCTCTGCAATTATTTATCAGAAAAAAGATGTGGCAACCTTTTTATATCCTTACTTCAGCCTTGAGAGGTATTTAAGGGCCTATTCTTTTTCACTTGAACCTTTGAATGGAAAGAAAATGTGGCCTGAGGCAACCGGGGCAAAAGTGAGACCACCTCCATTCAAAAAAATGCCTGGGAGACCTAAAATGGCAAGAAAAAAGCCCCTGAAGAGGAGAAGAAGAATGCTACAACCTTGAAACGTTTTGGATTGCAAATGAGATGCCAAAGATGCTTGAAAGTTGGACACAACAAGAGAAGCTGCAAAAATGAAGCTGCACCCAAGCCTCAGAAGGTATATGGTGCATTTTATTTTGTTCAATATTTTGTGTGTGTTAATAAATTATTCACACTTTTATTTGCATTGTTAGGCAAAGAGAGGTAGACCAAGGATACATGCATTTCCTAGTGGGTCTGAGAATGTACCAGCTGTCCCTCCAACACAAGGCAGTGGCCACATAGCTTCACCTCCAACACAGGACAATAGCCACTTAACTGCACCTCCAACACAAGAAACAGGAAGAAAGAGAAAAAATCCAACACAAGAAAATGAAATCCACATAGCTCAAACAATGAAAGATAGAGCATTGGTATATTTAAACTGTTTAAATTGACTTACAAACCGATTCACTATATTCATGTGTATATTTTATTTCAGGCAAAGAAGGGATATGGTGTGTTTGTTTCTGAAGAGGCAGGATCGATTTACATGAGGGTTAGCTATTATTTACTTCATCTTAATAGATATGTTGTGTCCATTTCAATTAAGTTGAATGCTAATATATTTGCAGATGTCAAGTGACAAAAGAGTGCGCTTGGTGAACCCTGTTGGTGGTCCTAGTACCAGGAGCCGATCCAAGAACTCTGTTGGTGGTCCTAATACCAGGAGTCGATCCAAGAACTCTGTTGGTGGTCCTAGTACAAAGATTCCATCCAAGAACTCTGTTGGTAGTCCTAGTACCAGGAGCCGATCAAAGAAAATTCAAGATTGTTCTGTTTCAGGCACTCAAGAGAGTGTGACTAATAAGTAGTTTTGTCTGATTATGGATTGAAGTAGTTGTGGACTTGATTTTGAAACCTAATTTGCATTGGTGAACCTTTTGTTGTACTTGGTTGTGTACTTGGTATTTTGAAGTATAAATTTGTGATAAGAATTCTATTTGGTGTGTGATGGATATTGGATATTAGTTTGAAGTGAAATATCTATCTTGATATATTGGATATGTTTGAGATTTTGGTATGTTGGATATGTTGGATATTTTGGTGTGTATATTTTAGGCAGCCATTTCTTGCTTTTATTTTGGGTTCTTGATATCAGGTTGTCTACATGATTAAAAGGAAATCATGTAGCTATTGTTGATAGCAACATGATTTCAGTCTGATAGCATACAACTTCACATAATAGCATTATACAACTTCACATAGCATACAACTTACTTTAGAACTTCAGTCTGCCAATTCCATTACATAATAGTATCATACAAATTCAATCTACCTTTTCCAAAACCAACACATACCTGCCATAAGACAAAACCAACATCTACCAACCATAATAATACAAAACCAACATTTACCAACCATAATATAAAACCAACACTGTCTATTTAAGCATCAGTCTACCATTTCCATTTCCAACTCCATTCCAATACATAGCCACACAAAAAACTAAAACTAACAAAATCAATTTTCTCTCAATCTTCTTTCTCTTGCACATTGCATGAATGGCCTTCTCTAACTCTTCATTCTTGTTTTGTAGCCGAATAATTTCATTCTCCTTCAATTCTAGTTGTGCATGAATGGCCTTCTCCAGCTCTTCATTCTTGTTTTGTAGCTTGCACATGGCATGAATGGTCTTCTCCAAATCTTCATTCTTGTTTTGCAGCCTAAACATTTCATTCTCCTTCAATTCTAGTTGTGCAATGGTCTTCTCCAAATCATCATTCTTGTTTTGTAGCCTAATAATTTCATTCTCCTTCAATTCTAGCTTCTCAGCAATCAAACTCTCAGAATATTTTGTGCACTTTAATTGCTCCTCCAACAGATTATTCTGAGACTTCAACTTCAAAAATCTAGCCTTTTGGAATGGAGGTAATTCTTCATCAACCCATTGAAAGAACTTACATTTTTCATCCTAAAGGAAGGCAAACTCTAGAACTCTCAGAATGAAGGCATAAGGAAATTCTTCATCAATTGCAAAAAAATAAGACACTAAAAGAAAGGCAAACATACTCAAGATCACTGTCTATACAAACTTTTCAGTTAAATTCAGACTTCCAGTTTCAGAGACAATGCCCAAATTTTCAAATGCCATAATGTACAAAAATCAATATTTTAAATGCCCTAATTTTCCGAGTCAAATGCCCTAATTTTCATTTGTAAAATCTTCAAAAATTGCCAAATTCAGGCTTCCAGTTTTAGAGTCAAATCAACAATGCCCCAATTTTCAAATGCCCTAATTTACAAAAATAAACAATTTTAAATGCCCTAATTTTCCGAGTCAAATGTCCTAATTTTCAAATGCAAAATCAACAATATTACAAAAGTCTACCAAATCAAATAGCACTAATTTTTATTTGTAAAATCTTTGAAAATTGCCAAATTCAATGGTTCGATCTTCCCCAAATAAACATACTCTCATATGCAAGCATATCGAGCCATTATACTATCGAAATCGAAAAAGCTTACATCTTCATTTGGACATCTGTAAAATCGCCGTGATGGGTTCTTGTCTGTGTTTGAAGTCAACACATTTGCGATCAATCCATGGAAGCACACTACACACCGAGTATAGCTCGAATCAGACGACATTGTTGCAGGTGAGTTTGAGAGGATTTAGTTGGGAATTAGGGTTTATGTGGATCGAAAATGAGGAATTTTGCAACAACATTCATGATATATGCTATGTGCGAACGACACCGTTTATTCCAGCTAAGCCACATCAACCCCTCAAAATTTCCGTCACTTCCAAGTCAGCACTCTGTAAACGGCACCGTGAATTGTGGTTCGTTTTGCAAAAAAAGAAAAGGCTCGTGATTAAATTGCCAATTCACAAAGGTGGTGATTAAAATGCAAAACTGTGAAAGGTGGTGTATTAAATTGCAATTTTGCCTCTTTGTAGACATATTTTCTTTACAAAATAGTCTAGAAAAATCTTTTTTACACAATGTTAAATTCAAATGTTTTTAGATATGTTTTCCTTCTAAAATTGTTTAGAAAAGTTGTAGGTGACTTCACATCTTTCGAAAATAATGTAGAAATATTTGAATACTTTTACATATACTAATATAATATTATAGGTGTTTTTAATATTAAACATACAAATTTTATATTCTCTTATACAAAATAATGTAAATTTCATATTCTCTTATACAAAATAGTTTTACATTGTTTGACCCTGAATCTTTAATTTATAATTATTAAGTATTGTTTATCCTCTTATTTAATTTATAACTTTTTTTTCTTTCTCTTTTTAAATAGGATTAATAGTAGTTTCCACTTCTGCCATTGAGTGACTCAAACTCGAGATCTATTTATAATATTGTTAATTTAATATTGTTCCCGTGCATCGCACGGGTTACACACTAGTTAAAATGTAGTGAAAGGCAATTTATGCCCATTATCTTCACTCAAACCATGCATAATATTCTTATTCGAATCATAACATCAAAGCGAAAACACTTATTCAACCGATTTCAACTCCAATACAATCTACAGATGCACGTCTAAAGCTGTTATGAGTTAGAGGGATGAAAAATGGTTCAAAAGTCATCAAGATTTGTGTTGTCAAATGAACAGAAAACAACAAGAACGATTTCATTTTTTGAGCATATCTTTTTAATAGTAAATAGGTACTGAACTAATTCTTTCTCTTATAGATATCATTTAATGCATATTACAAACTTTGATGATAAAAATTCAATTTTGAGATTGAAGAAAAACAACTGAAAGGGCATGTACAGTTGTACACAAAGAAATTCAAAAATAAAAAAATCTCGTAAATAATTGTTAAAAGGACTCAAACAAAATTTCTTTTGCCACTATATACTATTATTAAGTATAATACAATTTTTTTAAGGTGAAAATTTTATTTTTAAATGAGAGAAAAATGACTGAAATGGAGTTTATAGATGTACACTGAAAAATTCAAAAACAAAAAAACTCATAAATAATGGTTAAAAATACTCAAATGAAAAAATCTTTGCCCAATACACCATTATTTAACGTATATTAAAAACTTTGTGGGTGAAAATTCAATTTTGAAACGGAAGGAAAACAACTGAAAGGGTGTACACGCATAAATTCAAAAATGAAAAAAACTTGTAAAGAATGATTAAAAAGGCTCCTTTTTTGCCACTGTACGCCATTATTTAATGTATATTACAAACTTTGAGAGTGAAAATTTAATTTTAAAACGAAAGAAAAACGACTGAAGGTCGTGTACCTTAGTACACGCAAAAATTAAAAATAAAAAAATCATAAATAATGATTAAAAAGGCTCATGTTTTTGCTACAAAAAAAAATAAAAAATGAAAGAGCGTTTAATGAGGTACGCGCAAAAAGTTCGAAAATGTAAAAACTCGTAAATATTGATTAAACAGTACGTCATTATTTAATATATATTACAAACTTTTATGGTGAAAATTCAATTTTAAAACGGAAGAAAAGCGACTGAAAGGGTGTGTACTAAGGTATTCGAAAACAATTCAAAAACGAAAAAACTCATAAATAATGGTTAATATAAATTAGTTCTCTACGTGTTACCCATGCATCGCACGGGATTCGTACTAGTATATATATATACACACACACACAAAAATTAAAAAATAAACGATGAGATATACGTTAATAACATAACACGTAGAGAACTAATTAAAATAAAACACAACCACACATATATGTCTATATATTTGAAAATAAAATTAAAAACATAACCATTTGCTTATATTGTCAACATCTTGTTGCGTAGCAAAACTAAGGAAGTCAAAATAACACATTGGGAAATCGGTAGGATACTCCAACACTTTGTAGTAATAGATTGTGATTTACCAATGTTATTTTCTATCATCCTCGAACTTGTCACTCATCTTTGTAATGTTAACGTCACAAATTAGTCCAGTCATGCGGCCACCCTGTAAAATCGCAATACAAAAATAATATTTTAGTAAAAAAATATTAAAATAATAAATATTGACAACTACTATTAAATCAACATAATGAAGAATACTAACATCACTATCGTGGAAAACTATTTCCAAATAACTTCTGTAAGAGGCATAAAACATCGACTTAAAGATGCTGCTGGAAGTTTCAACATGACCTTCGTATTTCATTTAAAATCCTTGATTAGACCAAGGGTTGATCCATGCCTTTATTTTGAATGTGTGAGTTTATGATTAGTTTTGGATTTCATTTTACCAGGAATGTGAGTTTATTTATAGATGAAATTTTGGTGCTTATATATGCAATTATTTTCTAAGTTTTAAAATGTGGATTTATATGATATAAGCTTATTACTTGATTTGATCTTTTTTTTGGGCGATTTTGAGGGAAATCGGATCATATCCTAAGAATATCCTAACACTTGATTTTTTTTTTTCGATTTTGGTGGTAATAAAACTATTCCAATAATATTCTGTATTTATCTCTTAAATATATGATTTTTTTTTTTAAAAAATGGTAATAAAGAATGTTAGTAATTTGAGGTTCCCAAAATTTTTTATGTTCTTATTTTTTTTAATCCAATATGTTAACACTAACTACTTCGAACGTGTAACAAATATAAAATTATTGAGATTTTCCTTTAATTAAATCTATGCAATTAGGTAAATATTATTAAGTTAATATATATATATATATATATACATACATAACTTTATATAAAGTAAATAAATAAACGCAATTGTCTCCCCCAAAATCTCTCCGTCTCGACTTCCATCATCTCTCGCAAGGTAAGCTCCCTCAGCCGCCGTCCGTGATTGGTGGTGGACTGCCCTCTTTCGCTCATCCATGGCCGCGACGCCCTCGTCCTCTGTCTTGACGCCACTGGGTTAGGGCTAGGGTTTCGGCGGATTCATTTTCCGCTCGAAGGCTGCCGGAATTCAGTGGAATCGGGGATTGGCGGGGTGTGGTGGTGCGTGGATGATGCTTGCGTCGCTTGAGTTGGCTTTGGTCGGGGTATTTCTTCTCGGCCAATTTGGAGGTCTGCCGTGGGTGGATTTCCGGCTTCAGGAGGGATCTGGTCGTCGGCTTCTCATTTGTGCAGTGGGGTGCAGAGGTGGCAGTCGGGATTTCTCGTTGAGGTTTGGTCGATAGGATGTGGCTTCGTCTAGGCTGGGTCGGTGCGGCCGAGCAGGGATGTCTCTCGTCCCCTTTCTCCCCTTTCTCTGTTCCGGAGTTCGGGGGAGGCCGATCGTCTTCGGAGTAGGCTAGTGGTGTTAGGCTGCTTCGAGATGGAGTCGTATCGGCTAGTGGTGTTAGCCGGTTGGGGGGCGTTTTGGGCTTCTTGTGGCTGGAGTGCGGGTCGATTTTTCGGTTTGTTTTTTAGGCTGGGATCATCGTCTTGCTAGGCCTTATGCAGTGGCGGGCGTGGTATCAGAGCTTCGGAGCTCTCCTCGGAATCGACTTAGTCTGTCGTCCTCTTCGGATGTATTTGCTGAGGGAGGCTGTGTTGTTAGTTTAGTTGTTTTTGTTTTTAGTGTGTTCGTTTGTATTTGTCGTTTGTGTCGGTGTTTGTGTTTGTAATTGTGTTTTAGGTTTGGGCGTTTGCCCCTGTGAGCCCGAGTGTCAACTTATTATCCTGTTGGGATCTGACGCTCGGGCATTACTCTGTTGGGGTCTTTTTTAGTTGTTTTAGTTGTTCGAGTTGTTGGTTAGTTTAGTTGTGAGTGTTTTATTCTAGCGTTGCTAGACGGGATTCTAGGCGGTCTTCTGACCTGTCCTCCCACTTTTTCAGCTGTTGGCTGCTGTGTATTCAGTCGTTGACTGCTGTGTATTGGCACATTTGTGCATTTTGATTTATAATAGTTCATATCGTTTCGGAAAAAAAATAAATAAATAAACGCACTATTATACCACTATAATCTTCAATTTGTATATTTTAATCAAAAGGGAAATATAACCTCCGATTTAGGTTATCTATCGTTGCCGAAAAAAAAAAACCTCCAGATTTAGGTAAATAGATATATGATATTATTTGACATATTCCTTCAAATTGCAGACTTTATCAAAATTATATATTTTTTTATATAGTTGCAATACGTTAAGTCAATAATTTTTAAAATATTGTACCTTTTTAATTGATTTAGTTAAAAGTTTATATAAATTATGACCTCACCAGCCATAGTCATGCAAATCAAATATCATTCCAAAAAAATAATTTTAAGTAACATGTGAATAATATATAAATCAAACATACACCAAAGAAAATTGGTATAACTATAGTTTATATTTTATTTAAAATTACAATTTTCATATTTTTCTTTTTTTCCTATATTTAGAATATTATTTTATGTAGTATATTTTCTCCTATTAAAATTTTTATATATAATGTTATATTAAATGCAGTTTCTGAATTATATTACGAATTTAAATAATTTATTTAACTAAATCAATTAAATAAGCAAAAAAAATAACTTTTAAATTAAGTAACTGGAGAAAAAAAATATTATAATTTTTATTGTACGTTTTTTTAGGAATGAAGACCAAGTATAAATGATAATTGAATTATAAAAAAACATGTAATTTGAGAGTAATATATTGAAAAAATTCAATTAGTGAAGATGGTAAGGGTAAAAGCAATAATTGTTAATTAAAAAGACCTTCTCTCTAGAAATTGCCCAAATCAACCCTAATCGTCTACCTTCTACTACCGATTTCGTTGCCTCTCTCAGTGGGTCGCCGGACCCCTAACCGGCGGTCGCCTCTGGATGCACGCCCTTGTTCCGATTGGCGATTCTCCCAGCTGTTTGCAATGGGGAATGAAGCCGAGTGTCTGCGATGGGATTTTGCGCCGGCTTTGCCGATTCAGGTTCTCCTTCGTTTTCTTTCACTTTGTCGATTTCCTTGGATTGGAGGCGATCTGGGTGTGCTCGCCGTCGGAGTTGGTGTGGCTTGGGCCGCTTTCGACGTTTGCTGTCGAGTCGGCCCGGGTGGAGGAGTGGTATTGTCTTCGCCCTTTCCTCTGTTTCACAGGAGATGGGTCTCTTGTGAGGTCGGGCTCGGCTAGTGGTGTTAATCGAGTCCGTGCCAGCAGGGGTGGAGTGGGAGAGTTTACTGCTTTTCTGGTCTTGGGGCGGGTCGTCTCTTGGAGTGGTTCGGAGTTTGAGATGCGACTTCAGCTAGGCCTTCTTAGGCAGTTTCGGGAGTGGTTCTTGGGCTGCGTTCTTCTCTAGTGGGGTCGGCCGAGTTGCCGCTGGTGTATCGTGCAGGGTTGGATGTCGTTTTCATTCCCCATTCCTCTGTGCCGTTGGTGTTGGGTCCAGGGGAGACCGGTGCTTGAGTTTGGGCTAGTGGTGTTAGCCGATCTGAAGCATTGGTGTTGTGGGGGCGATCTTGGTTTTCTTGCTCTTGCGAAGGGGTGGGTCTACTCTCAGGTTGGGTTCCGGGTTGGGTCTTCGTCTTGCTAGGCATTTGGCAGTGGCGGGCGTGGTTCTTATGCTTCGGATCTCAGTTTGTGCTGAGGGAGGGCTCGTTTATTTAGTAATTGTTGCTTAGGTGTTTTTGTGTTAGTTTGTTCTGTGTTGATTGTGTGTTGCTTAGGAATTGTGTTTTTGGTTTGGGCCGTTTGGCCTCTGTGAGCCGGGTGTCAATCTTATTACTCCGTTGGGGTCCGACACTCTGGTATTACTCTGTTGGGGTCCTTGTAGTTTGTTTTAGTTGTTTGTGTTGTTAGTTAGTTAGTTTAGTTTTGAGTGTTTTTTATTCTAGCGTTGCTAGCCGGGATTCTAGGCGGTCTTCTGACTTGTCCTCTCACTTTTTTCAGCTGTTGGCTGCTGTGTATTCAGTCGTTGGCTGCTGTGTATTCGCGCATTTGTGCATTTTGATTTATAATATTATCTATCGTTTTGGAAAAAAAAAAGAGTAATATATTGGCAATTAAAGTAAAACAAACCAGCCCATTGTCATGATCTTCCCTTTACTCGCAATCTATCATGGAAAATAGGATCATTTGAGTCTTTTCTCCATGAACCAATTTTGATTGAATGGGTTGAACCTCAATGACCATACCAATTTCTACAATATCAAAATAATTCGATCAACAATTTATTAAGCAGTGTGAAATAAAAATAAAAATTGTAAAAATATTTGAATTCGCATTAAATTAAACAATTACCAAAAAGAAATAGTTCATCCACATTGTCAATAGAAAAACTATGGAAGTCAATATTAAATGTAAGGAAATCAGAAGAAATTTCCAAGACCTTCGTCTTCCTATTAATTATGAGTTTCAACTTCGCCATGGTAGAGCGAAATTTACCAATATTGCTTTCTACTTGGTAATTACGAATCTTGTAATATTCAATTTTTCCTGCGTGCGGACGTATATTCAATAAGGCTGAGTAAATAAATTTTATAAAAAATAAAATTTTTATAAAATATTTTATAAAGTTGGTAAATACGTATATTTTGTAAAAATATTTCGTAAATACGTATAAATTTTATAGTCAAAATAATAAGAGTGAGTAAAGATTTACCAATGATAGTTTTATTAAGACCGAGTAATAAGACTGAGTAAATTTTATACAAATATTAATTGGTAAATACGTATATTTTGACTATAAATTTACTCAGTCTTATTATTTTGACTATTAATTTTTTTTGGAGATTTTAGGAATTTTTTTATAATTTTTTTTTTAAAATGAATGAACAATTATCTTTCAATAAGGCTTTTGTGCAGGTTTATCATCGTCAAAAGCCAATTTTTTATCCCCAAATCACGATTTTTTCCATAGGTTTCTCAACCAACATCTATTGAATTAGTGTCCATACATGTAGAAAACAACATTTTAAATCACCAGGACCAAAGATTCCAAACCCTAATTTAGAAAAAGAAAAGAGGGGAAAATGAATAAAAAAAGAAGCGCAACAGAAACCTAGGCAACGGGCGATCTGAGGTAATCAAACAACCCCGATTTCCCGATGATGTTGGCGAACTTATTGAAACTGATGACGCCGTCGCCGTTGGTGTTGCCAGCTATATGGGACATGACAACAGCCCATCTTGACCTTGATGTTGCCATGGAGGTCACGTAGAAATCTTCTCTCCATTTTTTGTTTATCCACTTGAATGGGAATGAGTCGCTCACTTTGTAAGACTGTTGGGCGTACTATGTGCCTAAAACGAATTTAAAAATCTAAGTTGGCCAAAAGGAAAAAAAAAAAATGACAATAACGGAAGAGAAAAGGAATTTATGTAGATCAACTTCAAGCTCAGTCCTAGAAATTTACCTTTCGACATTTCAACTAATGAACTGCCATTTGCGGCTCCTCCAACAGCACTGATGTAATAATTATTTTCCCACTGTTCCATTATCCATTCCTGTATGTCGCATAAAAATATTAGAAAAATAAAAAAAAAAAGATAAAAACACTTACAAACATCATATCTCTAGATTTATATAGAATAAGAACAGTTATATACATAAATGGACATATATTCAACAACCAATAAATTAGAAGGAGAAAAAAACTTGCAACCAGTGGACAAATTGCCTTGTGAAGAAAGGAAGGTGACAACTCATAAACTTGCCCTGTGAAGCCAGTTCCGGCATCCATTATTAGCGCCCAAACATTTTGGTAAGATGCCACACAACTTATGAACAAACCATCTTCAGTTCCTTTATCAATGTGATGGGAAAGTCTCGCATCCGTCACATTATAGTGATATCTACAACACAGTAACACACCACAAATCAGTACACAGTAACACACCACAAATCAGTAAAATCATGTGTTTTGACAGAGCAAATATACTATATGAGTTGCGAGGGGTCGGATAAAGTTTTAAGAGTTGAAAAGACACTCATACCTTTGCTTTATTGGTTTTTGAGCATTATAAATGCTAATCCACTGGGTGGCAGGTATTCCCATACGAACCTTCTTCTTAGGTTGTTCATCATCATCATCATCATCTTGTCAAGGTTGGGAAATCCTCCTTACTGATTTTGTCCACTTTCACCCGTCTCCTTCTACTCAACGCATCGAAAATTTCCAACGCAAATTCCTTCTAATCTCTCGTTCCTGTAACAGAAAATTACAGTTGTAACTAAAAATAAAGCACTCATTTGAGCTCAACAAACCGCAATTAACAGCACAATTAGTCATCAATTAACAACCTATGTATTGCCCAAAATCAGATCGATAGAGGTAGCCATCTTTGGCGAGTTTCACAAAGTGCCCAAAAACACAACTATTGATGCTTCCCAAATGCTTATTTTTATTTGTTTTTCATATCATAAATTGCTTACCTAACAGTTTTTCAAAGAGTACGCAAGCAAAAAATTAAAACCACTAACAATAAAGAACAATAGAAGGGCTCAAAGATGCTAGTGACCAAATCCACACAAATATACACGCACACGACAGGTAAAGGAGAGAAGAGTTACAGCTTACAGAGATGGGAACCAATAGGGTGGAGGGCCATGGAGGGAGTCAGGGAGTCATCATGATTAGAGTACACCTCATAGTAGATGAGCTGATGAAGGGAATGGGGGTCCCATGGTTTCAAGAGCTTGTGAGCCAAAAGGATTTCTACTCTTCCGCAACCTCTTCTTTCGGGCCCTCATCCACCGGCAATGTCCTCAGCGTAAAATTTAATTCTCGTCGGCCACCACCAACAATCGACTCGTCTCTTTTCCCTAACCCTCGACATTCGCATCGGAAACACCTCTCCTCTCCCTCGGGCTACTGAAAGAGCTTCCAGGCCTTAGCCTTTCCTTTTTCTTCCCTTTCGACCATTCTACGGTTCAGAGCCGCTGTTACCCGATTCTAAGCCAAAAATCCCCTTTTCTCAAGCCAATTTTCTTGAAAACAATCCCCAAACAAAATGACAATTTTTTTTTTTTAAAAAAAAGCAAAAGATGTTATTGTGTATTATATCTTCAAAAGACAAAAATCTCCAAAAAAAAATAAAAAAAAATGATACCAAATTGGCAAACGGCCGTCGCCATCGCCGTCTCCCTTCTCCTACACCTTCGCCGGATCCGCCATCCCCACAGACCTCCAAGCAGAAAAATCTCCAAATATGGACTTGAAGTGAAGCAGAAATCTGGGGTTTCCACCGCCGATGGAGCCGAATTCCGTCGTCACGGAACTGAAGAACCTGACGCCGGCGACGATCGCGGCGGAGGAGAAGGGGAGGTCAATAATTTTTAGGGGAATTTTGGCCTTGATAATTGGAGGGTTTTGGATCCTCCGTGAGTGAGATTTTCACGGTGAGTTTTTTTCTCGAGTTACCCGCATTTTAGTTTAAATGTGCTTGTAAGATTGTATGAGTTGTAGATTATATGGAATATGAAAGTTAGAGATAATATGGGACGTATCCACTAAAATTTTGGCATAAAAATCTGATCAAATCTTTAAGTAATAAATAAATAAAATCATCTAAAATCATCCCATATAATAACAGGCGGGTTTATAGGCTTAAATCAGCAGAAAAAGCCTCCAAAAATTTCGAATTGCATATGGGCGGGCTTCTTCATTTTTTTTTTGCCAAAAATCCTGCTCATTATAGTAAAATTTAGGTGGGAATTGAAATCTTTTTTTTGCTGATTTTCTACTTGATTTTTTCAAACAACTATCATTCCCTCTTTATATATTAATATATATATATATATATTAATATATATATATATATCTATATATATATAAAGATATGATTATTTTTTAAATAGTAACTATTTCCCTCCAAAAAAATTCTTTTTACTAATTTTAAAAATATATTATTCAATTTATGGTATTGTGTTTTCAAATTAAATGTGATCTTATATGGTATGTTGTGGGTGGGCGTTTATTCCGAAAGATATTTTGTTAACTAAAATTAAATCACTTTTTATAGTAATCGGAAATCGTTATACTACCATAAAATAATCGAAAATTTGATGACATTTTAATAATAGAAATATATAGATTCATATTTGCATATCTATTAAAAAAAACTACGTTTATGTAATATATAGAGTGGGTAAATCTTTTGAAGGATACTTAAAATTTATTAAAATTGTTAATATATATATATATATAGGGGATGGATCCAATGAGACCACTCCTTAAAATGAGTACGTGAGACTCAATCTTAGCCACTCATTTTGTCTAGATCAAAATCAATTAAAATATACATTAATTAAATAATAAAATTATTATTAGTTGACTCCGCCGTTTACCGTTGACTCCGGCATTTACCGTTGACTTCCGGCGAAAATCGTTGACTTCCGGCGTTGACCCGTTGACAAATAACCTAGCATCAAGAAATAAATAACCTAGCAACAAAAGACACTCAACCTTGAGTGGTGTAGTGGTTGCATTGTTTGTTTTGCTTCCATGAGGTATCAAGTTCAAATCCTATGGGTTGTAATTTTTTTTTTTAAAAAAAAAAAAACCTAGCAACAAAAGACAACTAACCTAGCACCAAGAAAGAAATATCCTAACAATAAAATACAACTAACCTAACAGCATCAGACAACTAACCTACCAACAAGAAAGAAATAACCTAGCAACAAAATACAACTAACCTAGCAACTACAGATAACTAACCTAGCAACAAAAGATTGGCGCCACCATACAGGCACACGCACACTCCAGACCGACACTGCTCCACTCCGCCTTCGTACTCTTGTACGGATGGACCAGCTTGGATATCCAGCGTTCCGCTTTCACTAGTCGAGGATTTCTGTTTTCACTAGTATAGACATTTATTTCGGGCATCTGTTAGCCCGAAGATTGACTTTGTTTTGTATTTTTGTTTCTTTTTCGTTTTTTCGCTTTTCTTTTTTGCCTTTCTTTCGTTTTTGTTTTTTATTGTGAGACTATGTTGACCTTTGTATCTTGTTCGTGGACACTTTGGGCTCCCGTTTTTGGGGCCCTGGTCTATGCACAGGTTGGGGATCCAGCCCAATCCCCCGCCCTTCCGGGGCGTTGTTTGTTTAAAAAAAAAACCTAGCAACAAAAGACAACTAATCCATACAACTAACCTAGCAGCATCAGACAACTAACCTAGCAACTACAGATAACTAACCTAGCAACAAAAGACAACTAATTTAGCAGCAAGAAAGAAAGACAACTAACCTACCAACAAAACTCAACTAACCTAGCAACAAAACACAACTAACCTAACAACAAAAGACAACTAACCTAGTAACAAGAAAGAAATAACCTAGCAACAAAAGACAGAAATAACCTAGCAACAAAAGACAATTAACCTAGTAGCATCAGACAACTAACCTAGCAGCAAGAAAAAACTAACTTAGCAACAAAACACAACTAACCTAGCAACAAAAGACAACTAACCTAGCAGCAAGAAAAAAATAACCTAGCAACTTAAGACAACTAACCTAGCAACAAAACTCAACTAACCTAGCAGCTACAAATAACTAACCTAACAACAACAAACTCAACTAACCTGGCGGCGACTTACTAGGGTTGGTAGGCGCGCCCAGGATCACATTTTTTGGGTTTTGGGGGATGGCGAGGTTAGTTTTTGGGATGAGTGGTGGTTAGGTGATAGGCCGTTGTCTAGAGATAGGCAGTTGTCTAGAGATAGGCAGGTATCACATTCCCCCCACCTGCTTGTGCGCGACCTTTTGTCGGACGGGTCGTGGGATAGGGGGAAGCTCGATAGAGAGTTGGGCTTCGGGGCGGGTTTTAGTGAGCAGTTATTAGATAGGATCCAACAGATACCCATCTCGGGGGATGGTTCGCATGGTATGACGTGGAGACTTACATCATCGGGTGTGTTTTCTACTACCTCGGCTTGGGAGCAGATCAGGCTGAGAGATCGGCCGAATCTTCTCTTCGGAGCCATCTGGAGCGACCTTTTCACCCCTACCATATATGTTTTCCTTTGGCGCCTCCTCTTGCGCCGGATACCCTTGGACACTGTGTTACATGCGAGGGGGATCTCTTTCCCCTCCCGATGTGTGTGTTGTTCTGAGACCGGACTTCATGACACCGAGACCTTTACCCACCTTTTTCTAGAGAGTGAGATTGTGAGGAGAGTGTGGGAGCATTTTGCTACTTAGACTCATATATCCCTACCCTCCACAGACAGTTTTTTTGAGCTCCTGAGTTTTTTCTCACAGAGCACACACTTTAGACACGTGAGCTTCCTCATTCCTTGTCTGATCCTTTGGTTCACCTGGACGGAAAGGAATAGTGCGAAGCATAGGGATATTACTTTCTTGCTTTCTCACATTGTTTTGCAGGTGGAGAGACACATTTCGCTCCTCACAGCATTGGGCAGGCTTTCTACACGTGACTGGACAGGCTGCACGCCACCGCACCGATACAGGGTGGCTCCCCCTCCGCCTGTTCGGTCCCCTCGGCCCAGAGCTGTTGTTTGGCTTCGACCCGACTCTCCTTGGATCAAGCTGAACACCGATGGATCTTTCGATCGACATAGCGGTACTGCCGGAGGAGGAGGCGTGATCCGGGACCACAGTGGAGCTCTTATCACTGCCTTCCACACATCCCTTCAGGCCTCCTCGAGCTACGATGCAGAGATACAGGCATTACAGATTGGCCTTCAGATTGCTGCCGACCTCTCTAGTCATATTTGGATTGAGCTGGACGCTGCGGCTGTCATCACCCTCCTGACATCGGGTCATCAGGGCTCGTGGCAGATTCAGCACCCACTTATGCGCATTAGAGATCTACTTCGGTCTGTCCATTACAGGATCACACATATCTTCCGTGAGGGGAACAGACCTGCTGATTACCTTGTCAGCCTTGGCGCTACCATACCAGACACGCTCACGTATCAAACCTACACTGCTCCACTCCGCCTTCGCACGCTAGTTCGGATGGATCAGCTGGGATATCCATCGTTTCGATTCCAGTAGATTAGGTTTTGGTTTTGTTTCCTTAGACCATCCATTTATCCCGGGCACCTGTTAGCCCGATGACAGACCTTGTACTATTTTCATTTTCTGCTCTCGTTTCTGTTTGGATTGTGAGACTATGTTGATTGTTTTGGCCCATTTTAGGGCTATAATCTATATACAGGTTGGGGATCCGAACTAACCTAGCAACTAGAGAGAACTAACCTAGCAACTACAAAGAACTAACCTAGTTGGAAGGTTAGTTGTCAACGGTCAACGCCGGAAGTCAACGGTCAACGTCGGAAGTCAACGGTCAACGCCAGAGTCAATGGGTCAAAATAATATTTAAATAATTATAATAATAAAAAGAAAAGAGTAAATCTTGGCCACACATGTTATGTACCAAATCTTGTAGCTAAAAATGAGTCTTACGTCCTCACTTTAAATAAGTGGATGCATTGGAACCATTCCCTACATATATATATATATATATATATATATATATATATATATATATATCTTTGGTTACGAACTACACATTATGAATCATACGAACTCTACAAATATTATTAAATTATTTTGATACCTATCTTTACTAACTAATTAATGCATATCCTACACAATAAAATCCGGCCCGGGTCAATATTGACTTGTATGCAAATGAAATAATCAATTATTTATAGTTTAATAAATTACTCAACTACTTCAATTTTCTGATTTAGATAGTTTATACAAAAATAATTCCATTTTAATTAATAATATAATATAAGTTTTATAATTATACTTATTATTCACATAGATCTTAAATGTATGATAAAACTTTATCAAAATATTTATTTTATAGAATCAAATTGTAGTCAAATGGAATTTCTGAATAAAAATTTTAAAATGTTACTTATTTTGTAATAAATATAATGTAATTTATTATTAGTTACGTGCATCACGGGTTGTGTATTAATTTTAGATAGACATATTTTATGTAATTTTGCACAATTCAAATTTCATATAACATTTTCAATAAATTAATATAGATAAATTATATTACATATTGATTCAATATTTCTAATTTATAAATATTATTTCATGAATATTTTTAGTTTATAAATATTACTGAATATTTCTTACCACTGCATCGC